CCTGAAATCTATGCTGCTGACCCAGCGTTGCAAGGAAAAGATGACAGGCAGCCTCTGAGTGAAAATCTGTCCTAGTTAGTGCTGTCTTCTGTTTCCAGGGGTGACGAGGTTCGTTATCATTAGGAAGAACCTGCTTTCTCCACTTGATTTAACACCGTGTGTGCTAAAGGTAGCTGTTTCAAGGCTCTGAAATACTCCCAGGAGAGAGATTTATTGGCAAATGTAGTTCGTTCTTTAAATGCTGACGTGGATTCCCAGCCGTGCCCCGAGACAGACTAGAATTTCAGGCTGAGGTAGAGAGTGCTGTAATATACTTCCTGCGTTCAGTTTGCTCTCAGGTTGGGGGTGCCCTTCGTTGGCCCTTGGGTCATGACCAGGGCTGGCTCTGCAAGTGCAGAAACCAGAGAGGTCTTCTGGGGAGCCGTCCATGCCTTGCTTGCACACCCCAGTTCCGCCCTCGTCACGATGGCGGAGATGTGAATCTGGCTTGTCCGTAGAGCAACTCGGGGCGGCAGACAGGCACAGGCAGAAGTTGGTTCCCCATCCCAGGCCTCTGAAGGTCTCTGACCACGGAAGCAAACCAAAGAAACCGTGCATCCTGCCTAGACTTCCTCATTTGTGTCTGCTTTTCTGGCCCTGCTTTCAGTCTTAATTGCTCCGATGGAAGTCGTAAGGATTAGTACACTGCTCTAACATCTCATCTGGCTCGGGAACCTGCCTGGTCAGTGCTATGCCTGCAGGGACACAAGGGCCGAGGAGACACGTGAAACCACAGAGCAGAACAGATTACGGATAAAAGCCCGTTTGAGGCTTCGGGTCGGTGCAAAGGAAGAGGAGGAAGACTGTAAGGCCCACGGTCACCTAGGGTCGTGAGTTAAAAGTTCACTGCTACAGAATCGCCTGATAAAGATCTGTAAGCAGTTGGGAGGTAAGAATTCAGAGTTTGATCAGCCTTGCTACCCATCCAAATCCTATAGTTAGTTTGGCTAGCTCCCTGCATTGAGGTACCATGTGCCTGGCACTTGGATAAGCACCTCATTGCGTTACCCACAGGCAGCGTCTCATTTATCCTACATCACGTCAGCCATCCTAAGAACAGTGTTACCGGGGCACCTGGGTGGCTCAGTCGGTTAAGCGTCCAACTTCGGCTCAGGTCATGATCTCACAGTTTGTGGGTTTGAGCCCCACGCAGGCTCTGTGCTGACAGCTCAGGACCTGGAGGCTGCTTCGGATTCTGTGTCTCCCCCCCTCCCGCCCACCGCCCTGACCCTCCCCTACTGTGCATGCGTGCACGCGTGCACGCGCGCGCTCTCTCTCTCTGTCAAAAATAAATAAATACACTTAAAAAACAAAAACCAAAAACAACGTTACCAGCTCCATTTTCCAGACAAAGAAACTTCAGACTTGGAGAGGTGACTTTGAAGTATTTTAACCCAAACAGTCTGACTACAGAGCTCACCCTTTTAACCATCTCTTTGGTCCAGAGTGCAATGCGCTTCTAGAAGACTTGTGCGGAGCAGATAGTTTATCTGACCCTGCCTGCCACCTGGAAGGTCTGACAAAGGAATCACACTTTGTCCCCAAGGTCACGTGAAGTAATAACAGACACACTGACCGGCTGTCGTGCAGGGTGCTATGTCATTCGTTTGGAAGGGTATTTTAGTACTACATAGCTGGAAAAATGGAAAGGGGACGGGTGCTTTTTATTTTTAAAACCACAGGTGTTTGTTTTTCTACCGCATAGGATCGTGTTCTGTTCCCCAATTTTCTGCCACTTTCAAGTACGAAAATTTCAAATGTGAATTTCAGCTGGTCTGGAAAGAAGCAGTCCTTTTTGCAGGGGCATCTTTGGGTTGATCAGTTCACTTGTTGAGTGAATGTTGAATGTTGGCTGAGCATCTTCTCTGGGCCAGGTACCATGTCAGCACTGGGGGTGCGGGCATGAGGAGGGCGGGTGTGGTCCTCAGTGAGTTGGCATTCTTGTGAGGAGACAAGCACGTCAGTAAATCGCTTCACAAGATCGTGTCAGACACTGGAAAGCACGGAGGCGGATGGCGAGATGGAGGAAGGCCTGGTGCGTCTTTGCTTTTTTAAAAACAGCTTAATTGGCATGTAATTCACGTATACGATGGACTCATTTAAAGTGTAGAATGCAGCGTGGCTTGTTTTTTAGTAGTTCACTGGGTTGTGCAACCATCACCGGATTCTAATTTTAGAACATTTATGTCCCCTCACCAAAAGAAACCTCATCCTCATTGGCAACCCCTCTCGTGCCCTCTCCCCTTCCCTCAATCTTGGCAGCCACTGATCTACCTTCTGTCCCTAAAAGTTTGCCTATTCTGGATACCATCAGTGGTCTTTGGGGACCGGCTTCCTTCACTTAGCATAAATGCTGTCAGGGTTCATCCATGTCGTAGCAGGTGTCAGAACTTCATTTCTTCTGTTGTCAAGTAATATTCTGTTGTTTGGATATGCCACACTTTATTTATTCGTTCATCGACCTTTGAGTTATCTCCACCTTTTGATTATTATGCATGATGCTGCTGTGAGCTTTTCGTGTACAAATCATGTGGATGGATGTGTTCATTTCTCTCGGGTATATGCCTAGGGATGGAACTGCAGGGGTGTAGGGTAACCGTGTTTGATCCTGTGAGGAACTGACGGATATTTTCCACAGCAGCTGCACCATTTTGCATTTCCAGCAGCAGTGTGGGAGGGTTCCAGTCCCCCAGCCTTCAGCAACGCTTGCTTTGTTATAGGTCTTTTTGATTATACCTGGTAGGTTAGAAGTAGTAACTTATGTCAGTTTGGGCATTTCCCTGGTGACTAATGATGGTGATTTCATATGCTTGTTGCTCGTTTGTATATTTCATCTAGAGAGATGTCTGTTGAAATTCTTGGTTCATTTTCAGTTGGATTATTTGCCTTTTGTTTTGGATTATAGGAGTTGTTTACCTTTTCTGTGTGCAAGTCCCTAGCAGGCATGCGACTTGTACATACTCTCTTCCATTCTGTAGTCTGTCTTTTCACTTTCTTGATGGTGTCACTTGCAGCACAAAATACCGTCTTAGTTTCGGACGTACAGCATCATGATTGGATATTTGTATGTATTGCCAAATGATCGCCACCGTAAGTCTAAAGTTTTAAATTTTGATGAAATCCAACTTGTCTAATTTTTCTTTTGGCACTTTTGATGTTATATCTAAGAAACCATTACCAAATCCAAGGTCACAAAAGTTTTATCCCTAAGTTTTCTTCTAAGTTTCTAGTTTTAACTCTTACATTCAGGTCTGTGCTCCATTTGGAGTTAGTTTTTGTATATGGTGAAGTAAGGGCCCAGATTTGTTCTTTTGTATGTGAAATACCCAGTTGTGCCAGCACCATTTGTTGAAAAGAACATTCATTCCTCCACTGAATGGCCTTGAGACCCTTGTTAAGAATCCGTTGGCCGAAGACACGTGGGTTTATTTCTGGGCTGTCAGTTCCATTCCGTTGCTCTGTCCTCACACCAGTACCACGCTGCCCTGATTTCTGCAGCTCCATAATAGAACATTTTAAAGTCCGGAAGCATGAGTCCTCTAATTTTATTCTTCTTTTTCCCACATAGGTTTGACTGTTCCATGTTTCTTTTATTTCCATACTTACTTTAGGGTTAGATTGCCAATTTCTGCAAAAAAAAAAAAAAAAAAAAAAAAGCCAGCTGGGATTCTTATAGGGATTACATTGAATCTGTAAATCAATTTGGGGAGTATCGACATTTTAATAATATTAACTCTTGATTCATTTATTTAGATTGTCTCAATTTCTTTCAACAACGTTTTGTAGTTTTTAGTGTAGGTCTGGCACTTCTTGTGTTAAATTTATGCCTACGTATTTTATTCTTTTTGAGGATATTGCCAATGGAAGCTTTTTGTTTTCGTTCTGTTTTCACTGAAGTAGAGTTGACATACAGTGTATGTTAGTTTCAGGTGTAGAACGTAGTGATTTGGCATCTGTACGTGTCCTGCTGTGCTCACCGCAAGTGTGGCCCCCTCTGTCACCATACAGTGCTTTTGCAGTGTCACTGGACTATATTCCCTGGTTGTACCTTTCATTCCAATGACTTATTCATTCCATAACTGGAAGCCCGTATCTCCCACGGCCTCTCACCCACTTTTCCCATTCCCCACCTCTTCCCTCTGCATCTGTCCTCATCAGTTCCCTGTAGTGTAAATGGAAGCTTTTTAAAATTTCATCTTGGAATGTTCATTTCTACTGTTTAGAAATCCAATAGACACTTACATATCGATCTTGTATCCTGTGGCTTTGCTGAGTTTGTTTATTAGTACTAATAGCCTTTTAATAGATTGCTTGGGATTTTCCATATACAAGATCAGCTACAAATAGACATAGTTTTATGTCTCCCTTTCCAATCTGGATGGCTTTTGTTAAGAGTATGACACCAAATAGGAATGTTGAGAACAGACACCCTAGTCTCTCTCATTCCTGATGTTGGAGAGAAACCATCCAGTCGTTCACTATGTTCCAGAGGGTTTTGAATACCTTAGGGTGATTTTAGTCCCCGATGCTGACTCTGAGGCCGTGCCTGTGCTGCCTGGTGACCTTCCCTAAAGGTTGATCCAGAAGGGCCTTCCTCTCCAGTTCGTACAACCTGCACCCCTGTGATTCCGCTGTGGTGTTCTTTCTTGTTAGCTGGTTCCCTTAGACTTGGGTCAGCCCATCCTACAAACTCTGTAGAGGACACCGAAAGCGTTTGTGGGTTCTTTTCCCACGGCTGTTTGAGCGTCCCTGACTTCCGCAATCCTGAACAACCCGACTACGTGGAAATTGCAGAAATTAGAATGTGCAGGGAGCAGCGTTCCAGCAGGCCTTTCCTCTGCCGTGTCTGAAACAGCCAGGGGAAGCGATCTGTTTGGGGACGATGCTCGCTTCTGCAGATGGCCACGGAGCGCGGCTCCTCCCCACCCCACTTCTAACCACCGGCACCTCCTTGTTTTCAGACTCTCAGCGCTCCCATCTCTCCTCCTTCACCATGAAGCTCAAGGACAAGTTCCACTCGCCCAAAATCAAGCGAACGCCGTCCAAGAAGGGAAAACCAGCTGAGGCGTCGGTGAAAGTCCCGGAGAAGCCTGTGAACAAAGTAAGCGGACTCTCTCTAGGTGTCTGTCCTGGCCTTCGCCTACTTCGAGCAGTCGGAGTTTGTGCTGTGTTTAAGTTCACCCCCTGGGGATCGGCTTCCACCGCAGAGCACGCATTTCGTAGCATTCCCGTGCTGCCAGGCAGGGGCCTGGAGTGTCCTTGCGAAATGTGAGCCTTTGGGATGGCGAGTGTTTCTCCTGTTAATCAGAGTCAGGTTCTGTTGGCTGAAGCAGTTCTCCTTTCCCAGATGTATCATCTTCTGGGCATTCAGAACAGCTCAGTGCATCATGTTTACACCCCAGGATGCCACCTGCCTGCCCCCAGAGAGCCCCACGTTGCCCTGGCACGCACACACATAGAGGGAGCTTTGTGACGTCCACAACGTCCTTCGTTTGGCTTTAGGGCCCATGCTCTGAGACATGTCAAATCCTTGAAACCCAGCCAAGGATGCCCTCAAGCACTAGTAACCTCAGCAGGGCCAGTGAAGCCAGATACGTTGAAACAGCTGTAGATTTTCATCAACCCCTCCCTTCAGCCTGAAACGGCCATTTCAAGCTCTGTAGGAATCCAGGTTTCCTCTCTTCCAGGAGGCAACAGACAGATTTCTACCAGAGGGCTACCCTATCCCCTTGGATCTGGAGCAGCAGGCAGTAGAATTTATGTCCACCAGTGCTGTGGCTTCCAGGTCTCAAAGGCAGAAGGTCAGTGTGACGTTAAGAACAATTGGGTTTGCCTTGCCTTCTACTGCAGAATCCTGGCCCATGGTTTTGGGGATGGAAAAAAAAAAATCTCTTGCAATATCCCTGTGTTGAATTGGGTGGCGACTGTGGGCTTAATCGTTCAGGAAACAGTCCAAGGGGCCTTGGGTAAAATTAAGAGTTTATACAAGTCCCTGTGGTCTTTGGAGAGAGTTCAGCACTCCTTGACGAAACCTTGGGGGTCCTTTCTGGGGTGGGTTTGGGTGTGCTGCTTGGGTGCAACGGGTTCTGGGGGAAGTGGGTAAGTCTTCTCTCTCAAGACCAGCTCTTTTTTCCTTGAGTTGCTAAGATGATCGAGCAGTTAAGAAGGGAAGGGCGTCTACAGTAACAGGTGCTCTGTGAGGCATCTAGCAAGCTCAGTGTGGTGAGTGCACTCAGAACCAAGCACTGCGAGAGCCAGGGACACCTTTTGTGCCACTGACGTTTATCCAGCTTTAGCACTAACGTGCTGGCTGCTTTACACTTACTCCTACTTAACACTCCTAACAGCCCTGGAGGATGGAAACTTACTTTGCAGAAAAGGAAACTGGGCCTGTAGGAAGATGAAGCATTCACCATCACACAGGAAAAGGTAGTGAGGCTGAGATTTGAACTCAGGCTGCCTCACATCCAAGTCAAAACTCTTGCGACGCATTCCTCGTTACGAAAGCCAGAATGTAAGTGTTAACGCTCACACGTAACTGGACAGAAAAGCAAAATTAGCCCCCGCAACGTAGAATAAACACAAGCCTTGTAGAGAAACGCGGCCTCTCTCCAGGGCCCGCCCAAGAGCGTAGTTGGTGGAAGAGCTTTCGTCATAGCCGTCAAGTCAATGCCACTGGCAAACAGACGCCACGATTCTTGCATTTTACAGCGTACCTGTATTTTTGTTTTGTTTGTACTGTGACCAGCAGGATATCTTAAAATTCTAGTTAGAAGTGGAGACAATTAAGGTTTTAAGTCCAAAAGTCGTTTGTTGAATAACCCTTTTTCCCGCCTCATCTGGTAGCAAAAGAGGCTGAAGAAAAAGAGGAAATAAAGTATTCAGTGTTTGCCAGATTGGTCAAATTCCAGATTGAAGAAGAATAGTAATAGAGTGGAAGATCAGTGTGTGCCAGAGTCATTTTCCGGGTCCCTCCGTACGGCCCCCTCTGGGAGCCGAGTCCGGTAACGGAGCCCACGCACGGTGCCGGTGGCCCCTGTAGCACTCGAGCAGGCAGTCGAGGGTGAAGTGACTTCCGACAACCGCGTTCTAGCAGTTGGCGCCGGGAAGAGACTGGTTCAGCCACTCGGTTCTTGGAACTTTCCCCCCTTTGTCCGTTCCTCCGAGAGAGGTCCCTGGGGGGAATTCGGTGCTAAAGTGTCCTTCGCTTGGTACGGGTTCCTGCAGATTCCAGTGGACGTTGGCAACGTCTGGAGACACTTTGAGTTGTCACGACTTGAAAGGTGAAGCAGGTGTTACTAGGGCTGGTGGATAGAAGCCAGGGGTGCTCGTAAACATCCTACGTGAGACGGCCCTGCCCACAATGGAGAATTATCCGCCCCAAGACGTCAGTAGTGCTGCTGCTTAGAACCCCCTATTCTGTAGCCAGGAACTGTGAGTATGAGCTTTACCCAGGAAGACTGCTACTCTGGTTTTTGGTTGTCGCCCTTTAAGAAGGGTTGAGTCACTCTGCTCTGCCCCAAGTCAGCTGCCTGAGACGACATGAGCACAAACCTGTTGTCTCGTAGAGGCCCACAGGCACAACTGGAGGTGTGGGGAGCCTGCCAACATGTGTGAACTTAGAAGACCGTCGAAGAAATCCGAAAACACGCGTGTCATTTGCTGTCATTTGCTGTCATTGTTATTTATTACTCATGAGCTCTCCTACCTCTTAGAGAATATTTTTCTCCGTGTTCTCATTTTAATCCCGGTTTCTATGCCTGCCATTCCCTGTCTAAACACACGGGAAACTTGTCGCCCGGTAGATAGCAGCACAGATTCAGGTTCATTTACGGCTTACGGAGGGTCTCATTGCCTAGGCCCTGTCCCAGGTGATTTCACGTGCTGTCCTACTTGTTCCTCTCCATAACTGTGTGCAAAACCTCTTATTATTCCAAATGTACGGACTTTGGGCTCTGGCCCAAGTTTTCTTGATCAAAATCTGGTTTTCCCTTAAGTTTTATGCACTGCTTCTATGCACATTCTTATTCACGTCCCCACATTGGAGGGGGGGGGGGCGGATATCAGGTAATATCCTCTCCATTTTTCAGATGAGGAGCCTGAAGTCACTGGCCCCCAAGCCCAGTGGTGGCTTCGAACCTAGTCCCTCCCCTGGCACCTCTACCCTCATGTAGCTTCCCGGTTTGTGGAGGGATAGTGGCTGGTGCCTCATCCCCCACAACAGGGAGGCTGTGCCCGGGTCGGGGTACCTGCCTCTGAGCTTGTGCAGCTGGACGACAGAGCAGAGCCAGAGCTCTGGGTTCCCAGTTCTGGCGAGTGCTCCAGCTAGTTGTCTCCTTGTAAACTCTTCTGACTGCTGGCTGCATTTGCAAGAAGTCGGAGCTGTTCAGGAGCAGAGGTGCTTTGAACGCACAACACTCAGAGGCCATTAATTCTGGGAGTGCAGTTTGCTGGAGAGTTAATGGATGAAACCAGACTGTGCTAAGCTGTCGGCTCCTTCAGTAGGAGCCCAGGGCAGCTTGGCTATTCAGTGGCTCATTGGATCTCTCTGCAAATGATGGGAAGATTCTTTTTGCTTCAAAGTGCCTTCCTGCCCCTTCTGGGTGCCTCCCATCTCCAGGTCAGCCCCTTTCTCCCTAGCAAACCTGATGACATTTCCTTTCTTTCTTTCTTTTTTAATTTTTTTTTTAGTGTTTATTTTTGAGAGAGAAAGCGTGAGCAGGGAAAAAGGGCAGAGAGAGGGAGACGCAGAATCTGAAGCAGGCTCCAGGCTCCAAGCCGTCAGCACAGAGCCCGACTCGGGGCTCAAACTCATGAACTGTGAGATCGTGACCTGATCCGA